ATTAAGGACTCTGCATTAGCACAATTTCGTTTTGAAGAGTATGCATTAAATACTCTTCAAAACGAACTTGTGCTAATGCAGAGTCCTTAATGACCCTGACGGCACAAACAGAAAGAACTAGAACTTTACAATGAACATTTACACAAAATTATGACAAGATCAAGCCGTTTTCTTCCGTATTCAAAGCGCCAATGTTAGAAAGATTATTCCTTCGTTGATCCAAGGTTTTTTGCCTAGTACCCAAAGATACGGTATGATTTCTTTATTATTGAAATAGGGGTTAAGCCGTTTTGTTCTGAATAACGTTCGCTTGAAATCTGAATCTCCCCCTGGTTGACTAGTATTCTCTAGGATCTCTTTGATTTTGTCACTTGGATGTTTTAAGATTCTTTTTCGATGTCTCGTCATCCCACATTATTCGGTCTTGTGGCGTGGTTTTATTTGTATGGTGCAGTGCAATTTCGTTGTCTCCGTTTTGATACATTTCATAAATTGTCATTCTGGTTCTCTATGGTCGAACATTCCCTATCTTTTTTAGACTCTCAATTCTTGTATTTTTTTTGCAAAATAATGTGCTTGTTGTAATTATCTTACGAATACGAGTTTCCAATAATCTTTGCAATTTATAAGTATCCATTGAGTCTGTCCAGCTCAGCTGAGAATGGAGGTAGGGTCATCATAGATGTTACCCATGCCCACGTTAGCAATGATAGAGAACTGTGTGTACATGTGTTGTGTTTTCTATAAACTTAAAATTGTACTGCCAAATTATTCTCCCTTTTTGGCTAAATTTTACTTGTTAGTCTTGTGGAGCCTGTGGAGCTGGTCGCCAGTCCCACGTATATAGTGTTACACGTTACAGCAGCTGCCACCTGCACCTGCACGGTTGAGTGACAGCTAGGTTCAGACGTTCAAAAAACTGACACCTAGGGCCAGTTTTTCTGACCTATGGGGTTAATTGCTTGACTTAAAGAATGCGTGACAAATTGGAGATGACCTAACATGCCAGACGGGTAATTAATCTTCAGTTGTTTTAGCCTGTTTTGGGTGGGCTGTTTCAAGTCAAGTATGAAATGTTCATAATTGCACAACGATTGCATCAGGTACATTATATGTCAAATAACATGAATTAGACATGCGATGTAATCTTAGCCAATGATTCGTCATTCATAATCATCTGAGAGACTTTCATTAATGTCAAAATACAATTTTTTTGGACGTTCCCGACAAACATCCTCGTATTTCTTCTGCAGGTTGTGATCTTCCAACCTGTGCTTGGAGAGCACAGACCGTTCACGTCAAGCCGCCGCCGAACGCACCCTCATCCTCCGAGGCAACCGATGTCTACATCCCCGGTGCTGAGACATCTGTTCCCAGTCCCGGTAGAGCTGTGGGCAGGGGCCAGAAAGTGAGCCTGCGCAGTGTGCCTGGTTTGTACACCGTTATTTTATTGAGACCGATCATTTTCTGTAATTTTCTTTATAGAAAATGATTATTTTTTCATATAAAACAATTATTTTTCTGTTATTAGTTTATATAGAAAACGATTATTTTTCTGTTATTATTTTAGACAAAACGACCCCTGAAAATTCCCTGACTTTTTCTCTGAAGACTACGATGAAAGATTGTTAGAGACATATGGCCAAGTAATAAGGATTTTGGTGCTGTTTTAATACTCTAGAGATTCCAAAGTTGTTGGTTTTTTGACGGCGTTGACGCGTTGAAGTCGTGACAATGGCAGTTAATGTGATGGAGCTATTACTAGTATTGTTTATTGTTTGTTTGTTTGTTTATTGTCAATTTGCACATAAAAAAGTAACAGTATTAAAAGAAATTATATACAAGCAAATATATGCTGGAGAGCCCAAGAAACCTGAAGGTTTGTCTAGTGGACTCTCCCAAATCCTATTAATTTTACGATCTCTTATTTACATACATTTATTACATTTACATTTAACTTGCAATGTATTAAGGGACAAGCAAACAAATTAACTCAAAATAGTTACAAGATAATATAAAGTTAACACGGCGAATTAAATATCTAAACAATAAAGTAAGACAATCAAGAACATATCATATTGAACAAAAAAATAAATTTCCATTAGTCAAATCATAAGTTATTATGAGTAAGAACAACATAAGAAACCAATATTAACACAAAGAAAATATCATAGCATAAGAAAACAAGGAAAACAAAAGCAAATCAGGAAGTGGTAGTTGGCTTCTCTATCAGGTCAGTTTTTAAATGTCTTTTGAA